TAAATCGGTGAATAAATATATGTTAGTATTTTTTATAATAAAATATATAAGATTTGGCGCGAGGATTTATAATTATACTAAACACTAAAAGTGACATAATCTAATTGACTTAACATTTATTTTAACTTGGCCATGACCTAATTATTAGAGAATTGTCTTAGTTTATGTCTAGACATGAATCACTTAACTCATTTATTTATTAAATTGATGAATGAATATATGTTACTATTTTTATAATAAAATAATAAATATGCACATGTTTATACATAGTTATTAAAAAGATTAGGGTAAATTACATTGACACCTTCTGAGGTTTATGTTTATTACAGTTCCTCCCTCACCTTTTGAAAATTACATTTCCCTCCTTGAGGTTTAAAGTTTCATTACAGATTGTCCCGTGAGGTTTAAAGTTTCATAACAGTTTCCCCCCTCACCGTAATGATCATCATACATAAAATTAAATTAACAGGGGGTTAGTGTAATTTTTCAAATGTGAGGGACGGAACTGTAATAAACATAAATCTCAGGGGGTGTCAGTGTAATTTACCCAAAAGATTAAAACTTTGATAGAATTTTATATTTATATTTAAAATTATTACATAAATAGTTAAGTATATTTATGTGTGAAAAAACTATCCAAGGTCAACCTAAAATATTAGCATTGTTCTAACCATACGATCAATTAATAGAAATAGTTGGTAATAATCAATTTAAATTTTATGTTTAAATTATAGTATAATTTATCAGCTTTTAAATATTATGAACTAATTTGAGTGATAGTACTTGCATTAAACATTAAAATTAGTTTAGAAGTTAGATTAAGATTAATTTTTATGCCAACAATTAATTTTTGAAGAATTATCTTCATTCATACTCAATTCATGATCACTTAACACACTTATTTTTTTTATTTTTAAAATTGGTAAATATATTATGATTATTTTTTATAACCAAAATAAGAAAATGTATGTATATTTATATTTTTGGCATATTTATTTATTTTTGGTGAAAATTTAATATATTTATAGTAAAAAATTTTACACAAATAATTAATTATATTTATTTATGAAAAAATTATATAATGCTAAACCTAAAATATAGAGTTTGTTCTAGTTCTACATTGGGCTCGATTTAAAAATTGATCGATTAATTAGTAAAAACAATTAATAATAATCAATTTAAACTTATGTTTAACAATTTGTTAAGTTATGATGGATATGAGCTACTACTGGATCAAATAAAAACTGAATTTGGTTGATTTTTATGCTATACATTCATCAATCCAAATTTTAGATAATTGTTTTGGTTCATGCCCAACCATTACATTGCCCACTTATTTACTTTTTAAAATGGTAAAAATATTGTAAATTTTTTATAACCAAAATAAAAAAATATGAATATTTATTAATATTCTAAAGCTTCAATTAAGAAATTATATATTTATTATTCTTAAAATATGTCCAATATTAAATTATATTTACATCTGAAGGAATTAATTTCAGAAGAAAACCAACTCTTTAATCAAATCTGGAAATCTGGGATCGCGCGGTCCGCTCGAGCGCCCTTTTCCCCGCTCGAGCGGAGACTTCAAATTCTGTGATTTCATACAGGCTCCACGCTCGAGCGTCGGTTTTGCCGCTCGAGCGGCAAATCACACTATCCAGTACTTTTGCAGGCGACTACAGAGATGCTGAGAGCTTCCAATCCCTGCTCGAGCGTCCCTTTCCCCGCTCGAGCGGGAAGGCCAAAACTGGAATAATCAGCGAAGTGGCAATCTTGAAAGCATTATCAACACAAACTTCTCTGAAAGGCTTGATTCGGGTTGGATTCGCATCTAAACACTCAAAGTCTCACTGAAATAAAAAGTTGCGAAAATAAATACAACTGAAAGGAGTTTTGTCAAACGGGATTGCCAAGAATAAAACCTAACATTAATTATTTGTGAAATTAAGTTACCATTATAAAAAATACTAAAAAAATTGCCATTAACTAAATAATTAAATTGATGAGATATAAATTCTTTATTTTTTATTTTTGAAAACAAAATCAATGAATGTAGCTAATATAAGAAAGGTGCTTATAATCATACACACTTAATTTCTTTTCACACCCATCACATGTATTAAAAAATTTATAATTTAGGCATAAATATTGGTACATATGAGTGTAGTGTACAAAAGATATTAAATGTGTATTTAAATCAAAATATTTTAAAGGTTCTTAATTTTTATCATGAGTTTTAAAGTTTTGAGAGTAGTTAGTATATGATATGAATAATATTAAAATATAGTAAGAAGCAATAAAAATCAGTGGGAGAGGATTAGGTTGGAAAGATATGGAATTTTTTTTTTTTGTATCTTTCCTTCTGAAAATTATAAATTATGGAATTATAATATTTTGAAAACTGTTACTTTAATGGATTAGTCAATATTACTTTTTAAATTTATTTTTTAATTCAATAAATTCAAAAATTTATTATGAGGTTTTGAAACTCTCACAGTGTTCCTCACGATAATCTCTTTTCACTTATATAATATATAGATGAAAGTTTAGATCAATTTGCTTCAATACCAATTTTGTTTCTACCAAATTTAAGATGTGTTCGTGGGTAGTAAATATTTTTTTAAAAAATATTTTTTTATTTTTTGAAAATTGATATAATAGAAAACAAACATAAATAAAAAATATTTTTCATGGTCATAAGACGAGTGATTAATGAGAAAACCAAACCTTTCCTTCACATGAAAGTTGCAAAAACAATTTAATAAATTATAAAAAAAAAGTAGTTTACAAACAAATTTTATACATAAAACAGATTAGCCTCCGTTTGGCAAGAAAAAGCCCAGACTTTTTTGGCTAAAATAACCACAAAAAACAAAATAGGCTATTTTAGCCACAAAAAACAAAACATCAAATCCAACCCATAATCATTACAATCCTCTCTCACAAAAAAAGCTAAAAAGCTAAAAAGTCCAGCCCAGGCTAAAATAGCCAAAAAGCCAAAAAGCCAACCCACTTCCCAAACGGAGGCCAGAATGATATAACATTAACATTTATCATTAGGGCAAATTACACATTTATAACAATGACATATTCAGAGTGGTTTGGCATAAACTGATAAGTACACACTTTTTATCTTTTTTAGATTACATCACTTCTCTACTTTTCTGCACATCGTTTTGTAAAAAATTAAAAAATACATTTATTTAGATCATCTCAAACCCTTGAGATTTGAATTTAATACATATCACCCTTAATGTCTGAGAAATTACACTAACCCCCTATCATTATAATTATTTAGACAGAATAAAAATATTGAACTCATACACTCCCTTACTTTTATTTTTTTATTTTTTCCTCTTTCTTTTGCTATACTTTTTTTTTTAAACGTAATTTCTTTTGCTGAGAGCTTCCAATCCCTGCTCGAGCGTCCCTTTCCCCGCTCGAGCGGGAAGGCCAAAACTGGAATAATCAGCGAAGTGGCAATCTTGAAAGCATTATCAACACAAACTTCTCTGAAAGGCTTGATTCGGGTTGGATTCGCATCTAAACACTCAAAGTCTCACTGAAATAAAAAGTTGCGAAAATAAATACAACTGAAAGGAGTTTTGTCAAACGGGATTGCCAAGAATAAAACCTAACATTAATTATTTGTGAAATTAAGTTACCATTATAAAAAATACTAAAAAAATTGCCATTAACTAAATAATTAAATTGATGAGATATAAATTCTTTATTTTTTATTTTTGAAAACAAAATCAATGAATGTAGCTAATATAAGAAAGGTGCTTATAATCATACACACTTAATTTCTTTTCACACCCATCACATGTATTAAAAAAATTTATAATTTAGGCATAAATATTGGTACATATGAGTGTAGTGTACAAAAGATATTAAATGTGTGTATTTAAATCAAAATATTTTAAAGGTTCTTAATTTTTATCATGAGTTTTAAAGTTTTGAGAGTAGTTAGTATATGATATGCATAATATTATAATATAGTAAGAAGTAATAAAAATCAGTGGGAGAGGATTAGGTTGGAAAGATATGGAATATTTTTTTTTATCTTTCCTTTTGAAAATTATAAGTTATGGAATTATAATATTTTGAAAACTGTTACTTTAATGGATTAGTCAATATTACTTTTTAAATTTATTTTTTAATTCAATAAATTCAAAAATTTATTATAGATGAAAGTTTAGATCAATTTGCTTCAATACCAATTTTGTTTCTACCAAATTTAAGATGTGTTCGTGGGTAGCAAATATTTTTTTTAAAAATATTTTTTTATTTTTTGAAAATTGATATAATAGAAAACAAACATAAATAAAAATATTTTTCACGGTCATAAGACGAGTGATTAATGAGAAAACCAAACCTTTCCTTCACATGAAAGTTGCAAAAAAAATTTAATAAATTATAAAAAAAAAAAGTAGTTTACAAACAAATTTTATACATAAAACAGATTCAGAATGATGTAACAATAACATATTTATCATTAGGGTAAATTACACTTTTTATAATTAGGGTAAATACCACATTTATAACAATGGCATATTCAAAATGGTTTGGCATAAACTAATAAGTACACACTTTTTATCTTTTTTAAATCACATCACTTCTTTATTTTTCTGCACATCGTTTTGTAAAAAATTAAAAAATACATTTATTTAGATCATCTCAAACCCTTGAGATTTGAATTTAATACATATCACCCTTAATGTCTGAGAAATTACACTAACCCCCTATCATTATAATTATTTAGACAGAATAAAAATATTGAACTCATACACTCCCTTACTTTTATTTTTTTATTTTTTCCTCTTTCTTTTGCTATACTTTTTTTTTTAATGTAATTTCTTCTATTTTTCTTTCTTTTAAGAGTCGTTACATTTTATATGAGCAGAGGTGTTAGTGTAATTTACCCTTATAACTATGAATTAAATGATGGATCTTTTGACTAGAGATGAAAAAGTCATAGATTAACACCAAAATACCAAGAGAAGTTATAGGATGTCAAAAAAGCATAATATCAAGAATGGACACAAACTAAAAGTGCTGGGATAATATGCAGTTTTGCAGAGCCCCGTAGAATCACAAAAATAGAAAATATCCTGAATACACAAAACCACCAATGGAAAAAATTAAAAATCATCCATGACAAACATTGAGCACAACTAGACGACGACGACAACTCTGGACTGCAAATCCATGCAAAACATAAGCACAACTTTTACTGTACTCTCATTTGGTTGCCTGTGCGATCATATTGCTAATTGAACTAGCCTGCTCTTTAGCAGCCTCCACTAAAGAATCCTACAAACCAAGCATAAACTAAGATAATCGCAAAATCATGTGAGGCAAAGCGCACCACAATTCACAAATATGAAGAAACATTAAGGCCAGATAATCTCGAAATCTAATACCTGTGCAGCAATCAGACGTGCTACTGTTTTCTTGCTAGACTCCTGAAGTTCCCCAGCAATTAAAAGCTCATCCAATATATAATAAGCCTGCCAACTTTTTTCTATCAGATACTTTTCAACAACTATAGAGCAATCAAGTATAATCACAAACCACAGATGGTAACTCTACACTACCAAAAGTTGACATGTAGACTACAAATGACAATTCACCTTCAAAGGATTATTTTGCTTTAAACTTTTTCATCTGATTTTCCAACAAAGGCCGAGGTTGAATAAAAAGTCATACAAAAACCATTGAGAACAAAATGAGAAAAGCTACTATAATTGGTTTACCAAAAAAAAAAAAGGGTACTCCTTTTCTTTTTGATTCAGGCAAAGACTTGCAAATTGGCTTGTAGGGGGAAAAAGGCTCATTTTATTGCTGAAGAAGTCTCATTTTAGATGTTTTTTTGTTCATTTCGTTTTTTCATTGTAGAAGACTTCTTGTCCCCTTTTTGTTTCCCTTTTTCTAATTAATGAAATCTCTTTCTGTAGCTGATCAGAAAAAGAGAGAGAGAGAGAGAGAGAGATCTAAAAAATTAACTTGTCTTAATCAATTGCTTGACTTCTCAGACTACAGAGACCCTAATGGATTGCCTGTCTTAACCAATACACAATTTTTGTGTCCAATATCAAATACAACACACACACAAATAGAAGCAAAGAAAACCCTAACTTATTGGGACCAACTAAATGAATCCATCCTTCTCCACCATTCAGTTCCACCTACTCTAATCGATTCAATTTGGAGCTCCAAGCAACCCAAAAAAAAAGGTAAATTTTCTTCATTATACGATGGTCTTCCCCAACAAAGCAAAGAGATCAAGAATTTAAACATGAAGCAGATAAAACAGAAAATACCTTATGGAAATTGAAGATCAAGTCCAGCTCGCAGACCTGATGAAGCAGAGTCAAAGTACCATGAAAATCAATTAAAGATAGTGCATAAACCTAATTAGTATTATTTATAATTTTCCAAGGTCTAGCAGGCTCACACTTCCGAAATACCGGTCAAGTATTTCAACAAAATGGTGTATAATTTCAAGGATCTCCAATTCATTGTCATCCTGATTGATGCACATGCAAAAATACAGGCTGGCATATCTGCAAAAATATATAATTTAACAGAATACCCTTTCTCATGGAATCATGGTTGCAAGCATGAACATCAAATTGGCAATGGAAATCAAAAGCTACCTTTTATAAACAACTTTAAAACCCCTCCACTCCACAAAGTTGCAAAGCTTTGGTCCTCGTGTAAGAATTAAACCACTGAGCTCTCGAACGACCTGTGCAAATTGAACATCCATTGCTGTAACATTTCAATGATGAATGGAATGCACATCAATTCAGGAAAGCTATATATGGTTAAGTTGTCATTTGACATATTTGTGCAAATTAATTTCAGATATGCTAACCATACGAAATTAAAATAGTCAAATATATGACTAAAATATATTTCGTTAAATCTTTACAATGACAACGCCTTAGTTCTACATAAACGATGAGCTTGCTTCAAAAGAAAGCTTGAACAAAAAATAACATGTCATTTAAGCCACGGAAGAATTCATTATGAATCTTCTCCCAATGCAAAGCCACTTTGGCTATGTTTGTTTCGGAGGATAGGATTGGGAGAGAGAAGAATATTGTGGGACCCTAGTGGTTTTATTTCATGCCATGGGATATTGGATGCGTACCATAGGATTTAGGAAAATGAGTGGGAGCACTAATTAGTGCTATCACTAATGATGTGGCAGTGGACCTCACCATGAATGATTTAATGTTTTGGCCTTGGTGTTGTATTTTTTTTCTTTTTTTATTGAGTGTCATGTCATTAGTGGTCTTTTTAGAGCTCTAAAATTAGTGGTCTCTATCATTGTTGTAGGATTTATTGTACTATGTTTAGTTAGAGAGGCATAAACAATAGGATAAGCATTGGAGGATTATTTTTGAACACTAGATTAAGGAAGGAAGATAATCCAAAGGGGGATTAGTTATCTCAAGGGTGGCATGAATAATCCCATGAAAATGGGGGATTATTTATCCAGCTGGACAAACAATCCACCCTTATCCAGCGACCCAAACATGGGACTAAGGAGGATTGGGGGACATTTGGGGCCCCACATATTTTTTAGTCCAATCTCCCTCCCTAATCCCCTGAAACAAACATGGTATAGAATATGGTTTTCAATAATTACTATATCTTTTATTACTTGAAGAAGGGGGGCACTCAATTGCTTTTTTTTTCCCCCCCAAAAATGCACACCTCCAGGAATCAGAAATATAAGCAAAATTAAAATTACCTTATTTCTTTCCTTCTGGGTATAAGGTGAATACCACTTTGTCAACCTCACCTTTCCTTGTCGGCTAATGAGAAGCACAAAGTGAATCTGGAACATGTGCAAAAGCATAGAGCCGCTAAGCATTATGTCATGTTCATAGGCAATAGAAACACAAGCCATTATATTATTCTAGCAAAGACATGATTCTATTTGAAAGCTAACCCTTTACATATCTCATTAAAATAGCGAGTTATTTCCCACAAGTAAGAATTATGTTCAGAAAGAAGCAACGAGCAAAACCAGTTTTGTCACTAGGGGCACATAACAGTCAATGAATAATAAGCTACCTCATACTATTCACCCATATTACATCGCTTCTTCAAAAATATGAAATTTCTATATATAGCTAAAGCAATTTATAATCAGTATGAGAAAACCTGACTTGGTTCCACGTAGTTTGTTCATAGTGCAAACAATCACTTATACAACAAGGAGCCATTTCATTTCGGTTAAGTTTTAAGTTTATCACAAAGATCACTATATACTTTTGCATCTTCAATAAGGGTTTTTCGAAAGTTCTATTATCAGGATATGAAGCTTAAATGCAAGCCATCTCCTTTCTAAATTACAACTTAAAAACAAGAAATCATAGGGGCAATGAATGTTCCCATTAATAGTATATAACAGGAAGCAATCTAGTAATAAAAATTATTTATCGAGAAGTCATACATTTCTCATGAGACTGGTATTAATCAACAAAACGGAGGTCTTGGAAGTCTTCCTCGGCAGAGTACCACAGAATTAAAATTAAAAAAAAAAAAATTCTTGCACAACTAGACATGCACCTCTGCCTCAACTTCCAAAGATGTTATAAATTTTCACATAAAAGAACAAAAAAAGATGTGTACGTATAAACATACAGTGCAATAGACAAAAGATAACATATTAGCAAACCACTTGAAGCGTATTGTGATTCACAAATTAATTTGCAAAATCAGCAATTCACAAAGAAGAGTATAATAAAAATATAGGACCATTGAGATATGTAACTCCACTAAAGTCCACCTCACAAAAATTTGTAATTTCCTCTAGCAGAGTCCATTTACATTTTAGGGATAGTCTTCTTACTGTCTTACATTCCCCCTGGGTGAATCAATGCCTAAAAAGTAACAGTTTAAAAAAATAAAAGAAACATAAAACCTGTGCAACCTATAGCTTGGTTATATCATCTCAGCATGTAAAGATTTAAGGGAAATCCAGACTTTGAGAAAGCAAGGATCAATGGCAACTGCCATCTATTGTTCCCACTTGGCATATCTAAAATTCAAAGATCATCTCATGTATATGGTTATATCATCATCTCACAAATCATATCTAAAATTCTAAGCAACTTGTTTGGCAGTAACAAATTTTTGTGAAAATTAAAAATTGGAGTTATGTAGATCATACATTTATATGATAAAAAAATCATCTTATCAAGCTAACATTTAAAAAAAAAAATTCCTATTAGATGAAAGACTAGTTAAAAAGTAGAATCCAAAACTGTTTTATATGCTGACTTTGAAAAGTTTAAGGGGCTCATTTGTGTACATGGATATTGCTCACATAAAAAAATAAAAAAAAAAAAATAAAAAAAAAAAAAACTTTGGGCTACCTATGGGCAAAACTAATTTGAATCCTACATGCATAAATTTTTATTTATTTATTTATTTTTGGATCCCAAATTTGTGGAATCAAAGGAAAATGAAATTAATAATACTAGTTCAGTTTTCTAAGGGTAACCCAAAAAATGGATTTTTTGAGAAATACCTAATAAAAGTAGGGAATTAGTTTTTCTTATTTCATTTTCCTCATCCGTTCTTTTCATTTCATTTTTTTTTTCTGCTTAACAAACCCAAAAACCAAACAGACTTTCAGTATCCAAACAAATTAGTTTCACGGGGCTAATAGTTTCAAAGTCAAAACCAATCTTCCGCTCAACTTCTCCCAGCCCATCCTATGCAACTGTACTCATCATACTCAAATACATCATAGATCACCGGACAATGTTGATGACCCATAGTCCAAAAGCTTTTGTTCAATAAACAGGGCACTAAACACCATAATGGATTATAAATCCATATATTTCTTTGCTTTCTTGCGGTCCCTTCCCAAGATAACATCAATTGCCTTCAGCACCCTCTCCATTTGGCCAATATGTGGAGATGGAATGAAGGGAAGGGCATTCATTGGGGGTTATTAAACAAAGCAAGAGGGATTAAGTTTTCATTTTTAACATCCACAAAAGCAAATACAGATCTAAAACATTGGTTGTCAACATAATTGCCCAAAATTTCGGGGTTAGACAGACGAAATTCGGGTATACTGCCGATAAATACCAATGTAACATTGCTACCATAAAAGAAATCTCAACCCTAAGAACACAAGATTTTTTTTAAAAAATGAAATTTTTATCGTGCTTTAGTTTTTTGCATTTTCGAAAACAAAAATTAATGAATTTGAAAACACCATTTCATTTCCAAGCCAAATTAGTTTCTGAAATTTTAAAATAAATTTTTTATTGTTCCTAAAAACTGGATTATTTTGGGGAGATTTTCCCGAAATTGGTTTTCCTTAAAAGATAACAAAAACTGAAAACACAACCAAATAAATAGGTTCCAGATCCAACAATTAGAAGCAACGTAGACTCAAATCCCATAATTACGAATTGTTGAGCAATATTTCGACTGCATAAATATATATACGCACATAAACATATTATATACACGTATATATGTCAAGAAAAGAAAGGGAAATGAAATCAACAAGAAGATCTGAAAAGAATTTGATTGGATTTACCATGGTTGAAGCTTTGAAGCAGAGATGATGATAACTGGATGATCAATCTTTGAATCGATCCAAACAAACCGAATCAAATCAATAGCAAAAACACCTTCTCTTCTATCCACACTCTCTCTCTATCTCTCTCTCTCCCCCTCTCTAAATCGCACCGCTTGTTCGCTGTTTGGGTGCAACAGAGCTCCCTCTTCCCTTCTATTCTCCTCTCTCTCTCTCTCTCTCTCTCTCTCTCGATTCTGTGCTTTTTGGTCATTTACCTTTTCTATTTTTTCATTAGACAAGAGTGGTATGATGAATTATTTTGGACCTCCACATTTTTTTTTTTTTTTTTTTTTTTTTTTTTTTTTTTTTTTTGCCTTTATTTATAAATTTTGAAATTTTTTTAAAAAAATTATTTCAAAATAATATCAAAATTATCCTTTAAACATTCCGTCCATTAAATGCACACCCTCCACACTCCCGAATCAAGATCCTCACTTTGATCTCTCTTCTTGACTCTCTCGCTGAGCTATTGGGTCCACTTTTACGTCTAATTTCGATAATTTAAACTGTTCACATTTTAAGATTTGTTGAGTATATCATACCTGTAAAAAATTAAATTGATTGGATATCAGAAATTACATGTTCAGATCATCGAATTAAAAAATATTTTTTAAAAAAATTTAATAAATAGTTTTCCGAATACATACGGTTTGATATCTGATCAATTTGATTTTTTACAGGTATAATATACTCAACAAATCTTAAAATGTGAATGGTTCGGATCATCGAATTTGGGCCAAAAAGTTGGCCCAATGACCTAGTAGAGAGTCAAAAAGAGAGATTAAGGAGAGGATCTTGATTCCACATCTCCAACCCAAAAAAAAAAAAACTCTCTTCCAAAAAAATCCTAACAAAACCACCAAGAATAAGAAGAGTATCATCATTTTCAAAACTCAAGAAAAAGAAGAAGAAGAATATTGTCCATATAAGCTACAACATGGAATAGCCTTTTGACTAACTATTACACAGAGAGAGAGAGAGAGATCTTTATTTTTTGATTTTAATCTTGTTTAGGCCATCTAATATGCCGACTTGTTGATCAACGACTCTTGTTTAACATGGTATAGCCTTTGGATGTGCTTCCGTTTCTACCATAACATATCCTCTCTTTTTTCTCTCTATCTCTGTCTTGGGACTGTGGTAGTGTGAGTAGGTAGGTGTGTGTGTGGTGAGAATTTAGGGAGAGCCATAAACAAAACAAAGTTATAGTGTACCCAAAAATGGCGAGTTTCCTTCATGTTCGAACTTGTATTCCCGAACAAATAAGTTATGTTCGGAAATGTGTTCCCGAACAAAAAAATAATATTCGAGCCTGTATTCCTGAACTTGAAAAAATAAAATTTCTGCGAGTGTTAAGAATTTCAGCTGTTAATTCGCCATCATCTTGAAATAAATAACAATACAAATTAAGTTTCAAAATGTGATCAGTAAAATAGGTCTGAACCTATGAATAATGATTGGTTACCTGTTTGTAAACAAATAAACAATGTCCGGGCCTATGTTCCTGAATTTTGGTCATACGTTCGAGAGTTCAGTCTTGAAAAAATGACGAACATATTTTATTATTTTTGTCATTTTTTTTTCAAGAAACTTATCCTTACAAGGCCAATCTCCTCTGACCTAAGAACAACATCAATGCTATGAAGCTTCTCTAAGTTTTTATTGTTGTACTCCTCTCGTTTTATGGAGTTGTAGTTGCCAGAAAAATTTTAACTCATTGTCATTACCGGAAAAGTATAGGTAATCAAATGGTTTGTCACGACCCAAACCCGCCCCTATAGGTTTAGGGTTGCAACCGGCTAGTAATCCGTGATTACCAAAGGCCTGTTTAACAATAATGACAATAATACAATATAAAGGGGCTGGCGGAAGCCAATCAATAATAATATACATCGTCCAACGAGCTGTGAGGACCTGAATGGAAATAAACTTTCATATACATAGTTATATACACGAACACTTGTGTCTATAAAGCTCATATATACAAGACAAAACACAATGTAAGGAATTAAATCCCATTATCGAAAACAGTATTAACAAAAGTCATAAAACATTCATTTCACTTGACCAATATCAAAGGGGTGAATTTGAACCACCCAAAAAGCCTTGACACATGTTGGTTTAGAACCTCACGATGAGGCATAATAGATGGCTTGACAAAATAAGGGTTCTGGTCGACACCACTAGCTTTGATCCGGTGCTCAATCACCTACATATATATAATAAACAGTGAGTTAGAGCCCAGTGAACAACAGATGGGTAAAGAGGTTAAGAATGATATCGTTACAGTCTTTGAAACAATCGATTAGCATTAGAACATTTTCAACCAATATCATTTGTCAATCAATCATTCAATTCGATCCATCATATTCATATAGGTCATAAGTGGTACATCCAATAGAAACAATACACTAGGTCTCAAAAGACCGAACAATCAATTGATGGCCATTATACAATAACAATAGTTCTAAGATTTGGAATTGACAGAGATCTCTGTAACAATAGCGATATCAATATCAATAACAATAACAATAACAATAACAATACGCTATGGATGCCACGAATACAATGCAAAAGAGTATCATCATTCAATCGATAAAAAGTAACCATTTAAAAACAATATAATTTATCATTTAGAAAATAAATACGATTTGAACATATCTTTACAACATTGTTACTCACAGTAGGCTCCTCGGTACACGTACTAATGGTTCGGCGTCCGACCTAAACAAATAAAGTCAAGCACAACACAATTACGATTACACTCTTACAATTATATTCAATTCGATCGTTTGATCTCTATTCGTTTTCTCTCATTTGATTCTTTTTTTTTCATTTGGTTATTCCTATTTATTTTTCTTCCATTCCTTTTTAAATATGGATGACTAGTATTAGGAATAAATTAGATTATTAACCTCCAATTAAAATATGTTTAGCTATGTATTAACCAAACTAATTAAATATAAATAATCTAATCATATACCAACCCTTATTAAGTTCACTAATTACACAATCAAACATAAATTAGGCTCATACACATCAAATTACAATTATTCAATCATGTTTAAATTACTAAATCAGAAACTCATAAATATGTACGTTTTGCAATTTCGCCTCCATTTTCAAGCAAATCAAGGCCCAAATAATTAATCTTCACATTTATTTCCATAATCTTAAGCCTAACTCAATTTCAATTGAATTTAATTAATTCTCAATTGAGGCTTAATATGACTACATCTAATTTTACGAACCTAAATCAGATTTTTAATTGAATTCTTATAAGGCTCTAAATATCAAATTAAACTCATTCTTCCATTTTTGAAACTCAATTTCATGAAACATCTATTTTCTTGAACCCAAGGTCTAATTCATGTTTAATCTCTTCTCAAACTTTATGAATCATGTTTGAAAATAAGTTTAGAAAACGATTGTTTTGTTCATGGATTCTTGAAAGCATGACATGCATGTAAGGATCATGCAAACTAATAGGTGTTTGAACTAAAATTATGCCATGCATGTTGAGTTTTAAGCTTGTATTCTTCTAATTCCTCATTTTATAATTATATAGACCCAACTCTAATATTTATTCCATGAATTGAAATGTGTAATCTTAAAACTTGCATCCTTAAAGCTTAAAATCCTCAGCTCTCATGGGAAATTACTTCATTTTATGAATCCATACAAGAGAATGAATGTATGGTCATGAATATTTAAAAATCTTGACATGCATGTATACATTTTCCATTTATATCAACATCTCTTACAATCAAGTTTAATTCACCTCATCAAGGTTATATTCTTCTTAAATAATCTAGAATTCCATAAATATGAATGTGATTATTCAAATTGGTGAGATACAAGCAAGGAATTCTTACCTAGAGTTAGAGAATTGAATTGAAATCGTACTTTTCCTTTAATTTTCTTCTTTCTCTGGGTGTTCTTTTCTTCACTTTCTTTTTCTTCTCTTCCTTCTCTATGTTGAGTTGCCTCACCAAGTCTTTACTCTCTCTCTCTCTACGTGTATAGTTTAAGGCTACCCAACAAGATCCACTAGGTCTATTTTTTTATATTCTTTGATGAGTAAAAAGCATTAAACTCAAATTAATTAGACTAAAGAAATTAATTAAAATCAATTTGACTCAAATTAAATTAATCTCATCATCTTATAATCTTAATTACACTAAATTAAAATATACTAAGGTGAATTAGGCTCTAATTTCTATCCAACTATTTAATTCTAACTTGTTAAAATTAGCAAATCAGACAGGTTTAATTTTCATTCTAACCTATCTGTTCAAGCAATACAATTTAATAAATCTCATAACAATCAATAACACTTAACCACATAATTAACATGTAGGAACATAATTAATAGTTCCAATTAAGGCTCAATTCAATCACTCAATGACAGATAATTTCAGTAAACTGAATCAATTTTCTAAAAATTCCCATAAGCCCATCCATGTACTCAATTTCAATTTGTGCACCTGATAAGATTGTCGATTTCAGTTTCAAAGTTGTAACCTTAACAAACAATTTTCCAATTTACACAGATGTGCACAAATTAAATTACTTGGCACTTAGTTCAATTAGCATTAACGCATAATTAATTGATTAATTAAAGTCACGATTAACAAGTCTGGATCGTCACATGGTTGCCATCGTTACTGTCGGAATATTGCCGCCAAAGGGTTTTCAAGGTTTTGAGGGTGGATAGATTTTGAAGTTGGGATTTGGGGAAGATGGATGGGTGGTGATAGGGGTACGGGCTCTCATAAACCTTAATTTATGATATAGTGGGTGTGTAGGTTTAATTGTGAGATAGAGCGTTCCAAAATTAATGATATCTTTTGTAGTAATTTTATTTGAGGTTATTATTGTAACAAAAAAACTAAAAATCAGGGGTTCCAAAATAATTTCTAGAGTGCTAATAGCAGCACTCTTAGGCAAATTACGCTAATTGAACAAAATAGAAAAAGTTTTATAATTTTGACAATATTGTATTAGATTTTTTATTTTATTTTAATTTATATGACATTTAGTTTTATTTTCATCAATAATTATTTAGATCGAATATCTCTAATCGTTCATAAAATTTGATAAAAAGTTTGATATGATGCACTCTAATGAACTAAGGTTTTCATCAAATCCAGCC